TGGGCGGCAAATTATTTTTTTTTTTTTATGCGAAATGCGGTTTGGAATATGGGTGGGTCTGAACTCGTGAGCATTTCAGTGCAAATGAAATGGCCATGCGGCCAACCATCATCCGTGCCGTTACTTTGATCGCTCGCTTTAGGAAACAATTTATTTGTTTGCAATCAATTTTCTGCGCCTTTTGTTTGCGTCTGCGGAGTGTCTGACTGAATTGGAAAACGTGCGTGGATTGAAACTATAATAAATAAAGCATAAAGGCCGAGGCACGACAGACCGCAAATCGGTGGCCATATCTCGCGAGTTTGAAACCGCACCTCTTTATTCGTTACATTTTCTATGTGTGGAACCGTTTTTATGTCTATACATTTGCATGGCTGAGACTGCTCGACTGGACACGCATGGACGCCGACGACGAGCGCCGTGTCATTAGGCATGGCTAATGAACCCAAATAGCTGAATTTCGCTGCGAGATATTCCGAGAGCAAAGACAGTTTCTTCACCTTCCCTGAGCATAATATGTATTCTCGCTTTCCGAACCACTTTGGACGGAAATTATGAGCAGCAAAGTGTCTGAAAGCACTTTATAAATTTCGGCGAGAATGCGGGGAGCTGCAGCCAAATAGAAGGAACCGAGTTTCTTCACCTTTCAAGAGTGAAAAGAAGCCCATCACCGCTTAGATTCGCTCTTAAAACTGCTTAATTGCGCGGTATAGAACTCACATAAGAGAGGATTGAGTTGAAAAAGCCAAGTGTCAATAGACACGACGGCGAACAATGGATCTAAATGGCCGACGACCTTGCCTCGTCAACAAAAAAAGCCTGAACGCTTTATGCCTAGCAAGAAAAGTATCAGACCAAAAACTAAATTGGTTTCGAGCAAAAAGTTTTTTAAACTTGCGATCATCATAGCCTTTTAGTTCTTAATTATATACTTTTGACTTTCAGAATAAAAGAGTGTGCTGATATATGTTTTAGTTTTTATACAGAAGCTGTGAGACTTTTTCACTTTTCCCAGCAGTACATGAAATATAGCATCATAAAATTGAACCATCTCTTTGAGGATTCACCTTCACGCCAGTTAAAATCTCATTCGCAGCTGTCGGTTGGAATGCGAACCTTTTTTGTTTCGTGTAAAAAAATATTCATTTTAGATGATACATTAAGATCAAGATCAAATGTTTTCTAGCAAAATTTGCTTTGCAAAATAAGGAATAATTGTGCACATATAACGGGCTGCGGTAAGTGAAAAATTCTAACGAGGTCACACCAGAAATTGTGTAAAAGTGGACTCGTCGCTTTTAATGCTATCGGTAAATTCAGGTTTGCATCGGCGGGTTTGGTCAAGCGGCGGCGTGTATTACATCCCAGCATCACAGTGAATAATTCTCGTGATGTAATTGCACGGCATGCGCGAGATGGATGCTGCGTGCGCGGCTATAACTGTTCCATCCGTCTTCCTGCCCTCTCTCGCGTTTTGTCATCTGCTGGGGAAACTGAATTTATTGGACGGATTCCGTTCGATGCTGCGAGAGAGAGAGACACACATCTTGTCGTAAAAATTTATGCACAGGATGCCGATTTCTGCGTGCACCACTAACTACACGATACATATAACGGTACCTCGCATTTTTCCTCATAACACGTCGATAAATTATAATCATGTGTGAACTTGCATGCAATTGGAGTCGCACGCATCACCGCGCTCTTCCCGCATCGATCCGAGTGATTAGAGAATGAGAGAAAACCAATTATTTGGATCAAAATGCTGGTTCGGTGGGAAAGTGAGCCGTCGCTTGAATTTCTAATTAGTCAAGTGGGATAAGTTATTAAATCAATTATTAGTAAAATTTGAAAGTTTATCAAGCATGTTAAAATGATTAACATTTTTTTCAAAGGAACTAAAATAAAAAATAAAATGGATGAAATTTATGCGAAGCGTGTTCGCCACCGTCATGTCTTTTTAGTGTTTCCCAACCACGTGCCCAAAATTAATCAGCATCGAAATATGCCATTGTTTTCGGTCTGCTTGTGAGAAAATGCAGCTCTATGGCTAGCATTTTCATGATTGATTGTGGGAGCCGGTGGGAGCGAGCAATTCGCGCATTCCAAATGGTGATCAAAACTATTGGTTTTTCACAAAGGAAACAGAGGTGCAGACAAGGTACGGTTAAACTCGGAGAGGAAGATAGAAATAAAAATTGTTTTTCCTCGGCGGAGTGTCGCGCACGCAAAGAAAGCAGGACCACCTCTTCGTATTGCTGTAAAATTAATCGCCCAGCAGGACGGCGGAAGAACAATGATTTATCTTTAGCGTCCGCAGACTGAAGCGTGAAATGAAATTAATCCCGTTCGACCGACTAACTTTCGAGAGAAATGTCTGAAAAAGTAGCCGTGCGCAATTAGTTCTATCCTGACAAGTAGACAAAAATTCTGCGTCCAATTGACGTACGTGTATATAGAGGAGAGGCTGCATCCACGGAGCGAAAAACTTGTGCGCTCTGATGCGCTCCGAGGGGCCCGTGAACTTGAGTTGCTTTTTGCGTCCGTCCGGCCAGCGAGCCCAAGACAAAGCAAGACCGCAGAGCGCGTCCGTCTCATTGTTCTTCTTCCCAACAGCTGCAGACGCGCCGGACAAAATGCTTTTGTCAGCAGAGACACTTGTAAAAACTAAAGGAATTGAGGGACCGATGGGAAAGAGCAATTGTTGCAAAGAATTTGGGCATTCAAGTCTGTTAAACTCTTTGATTCGCGCGAATCGGCAGGATTAAAAAAAAGACACAAAATTCATTAATCCTTTTTCCCTAGAGATTTGTGAACTTTTATAGAGATTCACCGTTCCACCAATTAAAAGTTTAGGCCTATTAATACATTTTTAAATTTCATTTTAGATGGTGCAAAGATTATCTGCAAAAATCGCACGAACTTCCTGAATCGTAAAGTGATTTTGAGGGTGAAATGAATGGAAAGCTTAACAGTAAGTTTTCTTTGCGTGTGCTTCTCGCTTTTTGAAGACGAAAAACGAAAGGTTAATTTCTTAATTGCCTCTCTTAGTTCTGCACAAGTTTTTCTCCAAAAATAACGCTACCTTTACACCTCAAGATGTGCGAATTAGACTCCTTTCCTCACTCTGACCAGCAATCAAAGGGCGATTTGCAAAACGCAGGAGCAGAGTTACAAAGCCAAAAGCATCAAATTAAATTTAAGCATTCCAACGTCTCGGTGGCCATCCTTGTGTGTTTCCAGAAATTACACAGGCTGAGAGAGCGTCTTTTTATTGCCTTTCAGCTCTGAAAACAGTTATATATACCTGGGTGGATATAATTTTAAAAGGAGCTGCCCGAAGAGCAACAAAGGAGCAGCTCTGTGTCGGTGACTCACTCTCTCCCTTTGCTTAATTTTATTTTTTACTTTGAATTCGAGAAACAAAGGTATTTTATAAGTCATTGGCCAAATGGATGAGCGATGGCATAACGGATATATGTAATAGTTTCTTGTATAATGAATAATGTGACGAATCACGGCTAAGGACGTATAGTCGTTGGCTCTGCGCCAAGTGGGTCTGTGCTGAGAATTTAATTGCTTGCCACCGACGAGCGGTAAATGATCTTGAAAATTTTTGCCTTCCTCAAGAAGGAGAAGAAGAAGTTCATATCTCTCAAGTCATATTCGCGGAAATGCAATAAAAATATTTGCTTCGTGGGTAAAAATAATAATGTACTCGCTTGAAAGCTCAAAGATGTTGTTTTTTAAGCAAACAATTTTTTGTTCAAATAAGACGAGAGTTCATTAGACAAGAGAAAAATAATGAGCTGAATAAATTTTTATATACATATTTTAAGATAATATAAAAAATTATACTTATGTAAAATTAAAAATTTTCATTGATTTAAGTCTCGTTAGTGATATTTTAGGTAAACTTCTTTCCTGTCGTGAATCTGGTTCTTTTGTAAGGATTGTAATCAATCTCAAAATTAATGAGCGTCAAATCATCAGAAAATTTCCTCATTTGAGGCAAACTTTTGTTCTGTGGTTTGCACTCGCAGCACCTGAGCTGGAAAATTAAAGTGGAAGCGAGCAGGGCAAAAAGAGCTCTTAGGTATATCAAAGGAAAAGAGACTATGGGTGGGTCCGAATATCAGAGAAACGATTCTAGAAACGATTCTTGAGAAACGTTTCTCGAGAAATGATTCTGGAGAAACGTTTCTCGAGAAACGTTTCTCGAGAAATGATTCTAGAGAAACGTTTCTCGAGAAAAGATTCTCGCGCAAGGATTCTCAAGGATCGATTCTTTAGTTGAATTATAAAGGCAGAAACGATCCTGGAGAATCTTTGCGCGAGAATCTTTTCTCAAGAAACGTTTCTCTAGAATCATTTCTCGAGAAACGTTTCTCGAGAAACGTTTCTCCAGAATCATTTCTCGAGAAACGTTTCTCAAGAATCGTTTCTAGAATCGTTTCTCTGATATTCGGACCCACCCTATGCTGCCGTGCAAAACTTTTGTTGCGTTTCCATAAGCAAAGCTGCACATCACGCTGCTCAGGAGGCAAATGAATCCGCAACAATGGTCGCGAAGGAGCAACGCTCGCCCAGTGGCATATGGCCGACGAGAGAAAGATGCAAAAGCCGTTCGACTGGACAATTCATCTCGCCGAGTGAAAAATGCAAATTGCGACAAGGATGCTGATTTTGCATGTAATTATTCTCACAAGAAATTTTTTCCGTGGAAATTTAAAGTTCTCATTGAATTTTCTGTAAGTGAAAAATAACAGAGGCAGGTAGCATAAAAAGTGTATTTTTTTTTCAACAAAAAACTATTTCTGAAAAAAGAATAAAATTTAAGGGTTTTTTAACTAAATTTTAATTTACGATTAAATGTAATTAATGATTATTGTTATATTTCCCGTATGAAAAGTTGTTTCGTTACAAATCAATTTTGCTAAGCACGACGAGTATATTAAGATAAAGCCGGTGTAATTACAAGCACGTTTTGTTTGACTCACCGAGAGGAGCGACTGGAAGTGCAGTGACTGCGTGGAGATGCTGGTCGGACGAGAAACCCGCTCAGTGCAGCAGAAGCAGCAGCACTACCTCTCGATCCTGAGTGCCAGTCGACTGGTTCCGCGATTCCGTTCACCTGACTGTTTTATACGGGCCCCCTCCTCGCCCGCGCCTGAGTGCATGACCGACCTGGCGCTCCCCCTCTTCCTCCTTGCAGGGTCTGGACCGATTTCGGCGATGAACGCATACCGCCGGGGTGACGACAATCTTCCAAGTTCAGCCTGCGACATGCATAATTATGCCAATCAATAGGGCAAGCAACTGTGTCCAGAGCAAATAAAGCTCTCGCAAGCAAAAATTTTTACTCTTCCAATGAACATTACGATCAATTTATCAGAAGTTTTTATTTAATTTTAATATAGTAATTAATTGAAGATGAAACAAATATGCATTGTGTAATATAGATCGATATATCTATACAATTGGTTGAAAATTTAAAGCATAAAATTCGCTTGAAATTGCCACCTTTTACTATTTTATGATTTTTGATTAACACTAGCCAATAAGATCATAAAAATATTAAAAAACAAAAAAACATATATTCAAAAAATAATAATAAATTATTTTCTTACATACCATAATATTTTTTAAATAACAACTTTGATGATTAAATGAAAAAATGATAATAAAGTATTAAAAATATCAAACTTTCTATTATATTTAAAACAATACATTTTTATAATTTTCTCATTGTAATTGGTGTATATTCCAAAACATTTTTTAACTCATTGTATAGCACTGAGGAAATAACGATGTTTGGAAATTCATTAAAATCAATTATGTTCCATGTATCAAGAGAAACAATTAAGTAATAAAATTGCTGTAACTTAAAAATACAGAATTATACCAAATAAATCTCAAATATCTGAGATCATCTCTGACTGTGAAATGAAGAGGCTCACAAATATTCTTTTCATTAATTGTAGTGAAGGCCCAGCTTGTCAATTAGCAACAATCTAAAACTGGGCACATTTGGCACAAAAAACAGCAACATTAAATAGCAGAGAAATATTATTTGAAATCATATGATAATGCAGAAAATATAATAAATTATAGAATTAAATTTGGCACACACAAAAAAAAACTTTTTTTTCATAATATTCATTTAAATTATTTATTTACTTTGTTACAAAAAACTCTAAAGGAAACAAATAATTGAAAATTATAAATTTGATGCCACCTTAATTGATCAATTAAAATTTAACCTACGTGCATAAGCTTCGGAATGCAAACCATATTAGCGTTTTGTTATTAATGTCAGAGGCGTACGAAGATCTCAAGTGGGCCATTCACGCGTTCAGTTCAAAGGAGGCGAGCAATTAAAATAATTTTAAAAGGCAGTGTCCGACGCTCGAAGGATTAATACGTAAGCTAATTAATTAAGCATGCAGTGCATCGACGCCGCGACCTGCCTCAAAGAAGGAAAAGGCCGCTGCTCTTTTCAATAATTGCACGTCTCTCTCGGCGGCGGCTGCTGCATACCATCAATCATCGGCGCGCATCCAGAGCAATCGCCTGTCGATTTGATTTGATTGCACTCTTGAGAGAGGAGCAGAAATATTGCCTGAAGAAGATTGGCCCCTGTTTCGCGAGGAAATAGCTCAATTTTTCAATCGCACGTGTGCTTTTGTGAAAATGCCGCTTTTTACTGCTCAATATAATAAAACAAACTCTATATTATATTTTTCAGATAGAAAAGATGTGTAGCAATTAGCGGACATAAGTGTGTAGTGAAAACACAATGCAATAAAAAATAAATAAAAGAAGATTCTATTACATATCTATTGCTTGTAATGGTTTATTTGCGTGTTTATTTTTATGGAAATTTCGCGTGTCTTGCGAAAAATCAACAAACAAATAAATAAATGATACCATTTCCATGCAAATTCACGCAGGATAATTTTATTTTATTGGTATTATAAATAATTGCGACCTCAGAGAGCGAGAGGGAAACAATTGCTGCGGGGAAGAAAACCTGAAATTGGCGAGCGGACAAAAATTCATCTCGCTGACGGGCAATATAGAAATAAAACGCGCGCACCCAAGAGTCCAAACTGTACTTTCCTGCTTTGTAATAACTAATAACAGCGGCGAGGTGCATGTTTCGAGTTTCTTGCACCCGACGCGATGTTTACATTACACTCGGTCGAAACACGCGGCGGCTAATTGCACTACTCGTGTATGTGCAGAGAGACGCGGAGGGATGGATGCAGCGGCTAATTATACCAATTCCGAGAGAGTGAGCGAGTGCGCCCCGTAACGGTCTCTCTGTGTGCAATTACGCCTCCGAAAACACAAGTAATGATTTTGTTGAATTTCATACTATGGTCGGTCGTGTGGTCGGGATTCTTCACCTTACGGTTTCCCTTTGTGGATTTTCATTTGCGTGCTGTCGAATTAAATGCCCTGACCGCTGCGTGAACAATACCCTCTCTCCGATGGGAAATTTCGTCTCACGCGCCAATCAAACTCGCGAGAGAGATTGTTGCCGTGGAATTTTTCCATTAAAAAAGACCCGCGACCTCTGCCAGAGATTCTCCCAAAAGATGCTCTTAATTGAATTTATCTATAATACCACTTCCTGCTTTATTTGCGGCATCAGATATAGTTGGCAGAAAAAGCTTTGGCATGCATCTTGACCAAAAGAGACCATCTTGCTAGGCAGTTGAAATGCCTTTTTTTTTTATTTAAAATGTGTTTCTCTTAAGCTTCCTATGAAGTTTGAGACTGCGGACCCAAAAAATATTTATTGTTGGAATTAAATGCGCAAAAATAACTAATTTTTATATATGACTTAAAAATTTTACAATTTTTTTAGTCTAAAAATTTAACATTAGTGCTTCAACTCTGCTTCAACTATGCAAATAAATTCTTCCCTCATATTATAATTGTAAGTGCAATTGAAATTATTTACTTCAAAGCGGCATCCAAATATTAAAATTTATTTGTTTTCACTCCAGGATTTTTATTTTATACAAATTTAAAACAGTAAAAACATTAAGTTTGAAAAAATATGGTATTTATTGTTAAAAATACAATAAACTCTGCAATTATTATTTTTTTAATCTTCAATAAGTTGCAGATTATATGGGAGAGGAGCAGCAATTTTTCTGTTTTTTTTTTCTCTCTTCTCCGCCGCCATGGGAATGCCACACGTGCAGTATTTCAATGTACGAAAACCGCCACATCCGAACTGTTTATTGAAGAGTGGAGTTTATCATAATAACAATGCGTGGTGCGGTACAGTATTGTTTCCCACAAAACGCGCGTTGTTCTGTGAGTGTAAAATACGGCTCGCGCGTTTTAATGGGAATCTTTTAGGAAAAAAAGTCGCGGTGGTTTCTCTGGAGAATCTGCACGGTGCTCGATCAAAAAATGCAAATTGAAATGAGAGGAAGAACAAAGAAAGGAGAAAAGCCCTATCGTGACCCTTGAACGCGCGATTCGAAAACAAAAGGGTTCATCGCGCAAAAGTGCGTTCTCTCAATTTCACTATCAATCACGAGAAACGCCGAGAGGCAAAAAGCGAACGGGAACTCGGGCTAATTAAATCAACACGGCGCATTGAAACTGAATTAACTATTTCCCCTCAGATGTACATACTTACAAGAGGGAACAATTTTGTACCTTTGAACTAATGGCATTTAATTTAATGGCTTCAATTGCAAATCGTAAAAACAAACGGTTCTACTTTTCCTCTAAACGTTTTGTGCAATTTAATAGATCAAGAAATGATTTTCTAATTATTTTTATTAAAAGAAAGCAGAGTATATAAAATAATGTTCAGTGCAATTACCCCGAAGTATTATATTTTCCATTCAAAATACATTCTCTCATGGTAGTAATTTTTAGACTCGAAAATTTAAATAATTTTATATCAACAGTGCTGATATAGTGGGAAGGATTTTAACAATAAACCTCTAGAGAATAATTATTTAATTTTTAAAAACGAAATGAAAGCATATAATATTTTAATTAATAGCAGATTTGTAATAAAATAAAAAATAATAATTATTATTTAGCTCTAATTCATTAAATTAACTCTGGGGGCGTAAATTTATTTTAACTTGCTTTTACTCGAAAGTGTTTGATTTAATTTTAGTAACACGCGAGATTCAGCGAAAAGAGATGAAGGAAAGTGACAAAAATGTGCTCGGGAGGTGCTCGACCTTCCTAACGAGTTTCGCGTAGATCTCTGATCATTATTTGCACCGCTGGGTGTGTCGCAGTCCCGCAAGTGCATGCAATTCAGGCGCCTCCCTAGCTTTTCATGTATGCGTACATGTCAGTGCAGGAGACTTCAACTCTCGTCGATTTCGTCTTGACGGCTAATTAATTAGGCATACTGTAATTGCCGCAGATAGGGTATTACATAAACAATCGCAGAAAAGTCTGTGCAGCGAGCTCTAACTGTAACACGCGTTCGACACAATGCGGCGCCAACCGAGTTTTCCTCTCATTATGCGCGCATCTGTTGTTGCTTTACACGCCGCGCACAGATTTATTATAACAGTCCGCGTCGTTGGATTTATTCAATGGGAAAAACTGCCGCTGTGCGTCTCCGCGGCGCGACCGTGCTGTGCACCGCGTTTAATTTTGCATACAGCACCGGTGCTCTCGCGCTAATCTGGCCTTTGTTGTATGACAACTGTAATTGAAATTCATATCTCCTCTGGTGCAGCGGGCAAAAACGCTAAAAACGTTACTCAAACACCGTGTCATGCTGAGTTATACAGCGAATTTAGTTAGCTTCCCCGTTAATTATTCCTTATATAAACCTCTGATGTAAGCGCCGCGCCATAAAAAAAAAAGAAAAAACAAATAAAAAAAACAGAAATTTACTGAATTTTCTGTGAATTTATCACATACCTTTTGGCAAAAACTATTCCCTTTTTTAATTAAAATATATCAAATATATGAAATAGATATGACATTTCTTTTCAGTATAATTCCAGTTTCAAAATTTGAAATTCGAATAAGATGGAATTATTTTAGTTTATCTGAAATAAGATTTGTCAATTAGATGTCCACTTTGTTACTAGCATATTTAATACTTATCAAATAAAGCATATATTATTATACATTAATATTATG